AAAAAAAAAAGCAAAAAACACAATTCATTTCCTTTCTGAGAGGGCAAAAAATTCCCAAGCAGAAACTAGCCCTGAGGAATGTCTGAGCTCCTATTTCTCTGACGAGCCAAACATAGGTGGAAGGTTTCTGGATGCCAAATGGAAATTAGTAACAGTATGTTCTTCTTATTGCCCTATTATCCCCATTCTGAGCCTGCCTCAGTCAAGAGAAGTCAACTGTCTTTGCAGAAGTACCTTTCACACCTGTCCAACACCCACCTTCCTAGACACCTAGCCCTGCCTCCAGAAGTATCTATAGTCAGTGACTTACCACCCAGGTTATTCTTCTGTGGATCAAGTGCTCACCCACCTGGCTCAGATTTGGTTTTGAGTCCTAGGTGAAATAAGATACAGGAGGTAGTATTTCTTTTATTTTCTCTTTTTTTTGTCGGTCATGGGGCTTGAACTCTGGGCCTGGGTGGATGTCCCTCAGCTCTTCAGCTCAAGACTAGCGCTCTACCACTTGAGCTACAGCGCCATTTCTGGTTTTCTGAGTGGTTTATTGGAGATAAGGGTCTCACAGACTTTCCTTCCCCAGGCTGGCTTTGAACCATGATCCTCAGATCTTAACCTCCTGAATAGCTAGGATTACAGGTGTGAGCCACTGACACCTGGCCAAGATAGTATTTTTCTTTTTTTTTTTCCCTGTTGGTCATGGGACTTGAACTCTGGGCCTGGGCACTGTCCCTCAGCTCTTCAGCTCAAGATGAGCACTCTACCACTTGAGCCACAGTGCCACTTCTGGTTTTCTGAGTCGTTTATTGGAGATAAGAGTCTCTCAGACTTTCCTGCCCAGGCTCGTTCTGAACTGTGATCCTCAGATCTCAGCCTCTTGAGTAGCTAGGATTACAGGTATGAGCCACCAGCACCTGGCTTCCAAGATAGTTTTTCTTGAAGAAATAGGCAGGTATAGAAGCCTGTCATGGGTCTCCTTCCTCCTACTGATTTCCCTTCATAGTCTCTTGAAGCCATCAGTCTTCCTTTCCCAAGGCCTTCACTCAGTTGGTGAGGACGTGGCGGGGAAACACTGTTTAGGCAGCCCTGGACATCTTCAGAAGAGCAGTCACTTACCCCTGTTCACCACCCAACGCATATAGCCATGTTTGAGGCATGTACTTAAAGAGGCTAAGCACAGAGTCCAGCACTTGAGCTGATGTAAATGTGTATCTCAATGTAAGTGCTCACAAACCTTTAAAAAAATTGAACAAGGACTTTGTACGTGTTCAGTTGGAACATCACTTGTCTAGAACGTTTAAAGCCCTAGGTTCAGTCTTTAGTTGTGCAAAAATAAATATATAAAATAAAAAATAAGCATTAAAATACTCATAATGCTTATTCCTTCTCCTCCTCCTTCTTTTTCCTTGTCCCTGAGCCTGTTTTGCTCAAGGCTAGCTAGCACTCTACCACTTGAGCCACAGCACCACTTCCGGCTCTTTCTGTTTATGTGGTACTGAGGAATCAAACCTAGGGTTTCATGGATGTTAGGTAAGCACTCTACCATTGAGCCCATTCCCAGCCCTCATAATGCTTATTTTGAACAGGTATATTCAAATAATTTGTAAGTATTACCACATTTATCTTTGTTCCCCCAGGAGGGAAGACATCCTAGGGACTGAACCAAGGGCCTCAGGACTCAAGCATGCTAGGCAAACCTCTAGCGATTAAACCATGCCTCCAGCCCTTTTGTTTATAGTTTGCTTCGGAGACAATGTATTGATAATTTATCCCAGGGTGGTCTTGAATTCACAATCTTCTTCCCTTCGTTTCCCGAGTACTTGAAAATGCAAGTATTTGGTATGATGCCTGCCTTAAGTCAATCTTCTTAATTAAAAAAACGAGGCAGAGGGAGGCTAAGTCATTTATTCAAAAAGACAAAACTAGCAAAGAGGTAGCATTTGGATTTGAACCAGAGTAGAAAGGGAAGGCTGAACTTTTCACATTTTTTAAAATCTAAATTTGAACAAAAACTTAAATTGCTCTTGCTGAGAAGCACAGCCCTCCCACTTGGACCCACTAATTAAAAGCCAGAGAAAAGCATGGCATCCCTGCCTCCATTTTGTATTAGTTTTAGTCTAAACCATTCCTTTTGCAGTCACTTTGGAATACTGGAAGGACAGAACTGATAACATCTTTTGTGCAGGGAACTGAATACCTGTAAGGTAGTTGTTGCAAGACTACCATGCAGGACAAATGGAGACAATTACCTACAATGAGTCTGGAGCACCAGATGACAACAATAACAGTATTTCCAGAAACTTTGAAAAATCAGAACTGAGGCAATAACATGTGTGGCCGGGACTATTTTAACTATGCTACCTAATACACCTGTCCCAGTTCTATTTAAATCTAAACCTCATGTCTATACCCTGAAGATGGCTGAAGATGGACTTAAGTGCTTACTTTGCTTCTTTTTATGGCTGCCTGTGCCAGGTAATAAATCTTTCTCTGCCCTTCACCACTGAAAGGCCACAACTGAACCCTGGCCACCTCTGCTCAGGCCTGAAGCTACCAAGAATCTCTACAGAAGTCACACAGTTCAACAGAGAGAGCCAGGTGCCCCCTGAGGTGGCTTCTGTTGAACTGATGCTTACATTTACTTCTTCATTCTAACAGAGTCCATAGCTCCCTAGTTAGTTCTGGATGGCAGAGACAGCTTCTCCCACACACTGGCTACCTCCTGGTCATTTCTTCAAGTGTACAAGTTCAACACTATCAGTACAAGAAGCTGCTGATGTCTGACCCAGGGCCTAGAAGAAGGCACCTGGGTTAGTTTCAAGTATGTGGGTAAGAATTAAATCCTTTAGTCTTTGATTTAATTCTCGATTTCAATAAGAAATCTTATTTAAGTTACACTGTGAATTTCTTATGCAAATAGCTCTGAGATCTATATCTGAACTATTCTGGCAATTGTTAAAAAACAAACAAAAAACAGCAGCCTGTCCCTGGGAGCCTTGGCTCACAGCTGTAATCCTAGCTACTCAGGAGGCTGAAATCTGTGAATAGCCTTAGGAGACAGTCTGGGCAGGAAAGTCCATGAGACTCTTAGCTTCAATTAGCTATCAAAAAGCTGAGAGTAGAGCTGTTGCTCAAGTGGTAGAATGCTGGCCTTGAGCCAAAAACCTCAGGGACAAGCACTCAGGCACTGAATTCAAGCCCAGGACTGGCAAAACAAACAAATAAAAACAAACAAACAAACAAAAAACCCCAGGAGAATGTGTAGGACAGATCTGCTAGAGAAAAATCTATTTTGAAATCACATTAGAAATTACATTTTTTTTGTACCAGTACTGGGGTTTGTACTCAGGGACATGAGCTCTCATTTGGCTTTTCAAACATGGTTGGTAGTCTACCCTCTTAAGCCATGCTCCCAATTCCAGCGTTTTTGCTGGTTAATTAGAGATGTCTTGCAGACTTGTTTGACAGGTTGAACTGTGATCAACAGATCTCAGCTTCCTGAGTAGTTAGGATTAGGTGAGCCACCAGCACCTGGTGATGACATTTGTGAGGTATCAAGATATTTAGATATATTATCTCTTTAAGCCTTAAAAGTGTCTACATAAGGCCAGGCGTAATGTTGCATACCTGTAAGCTATTTGGAAGGCAGAGACAGGAGAGTCGCAAGTTCAAGGCTAGCCCAAGCAAAACTAGAGAGACTGTCTCAAAAGCAAAGTTAAAACAAAAGGATTAGGGATATGGATCGAAGTTCAAGGAGGGTCAACTTGATATTATTTACATTTACAATAAGAAAATACAACTCAAATCAAAAAGCTTCTTGTCAGTGCTGGTGGCTCACGCCTATAAATCCTAGCTACTCAGGAGGCTGAGATCTGAGGATCACAGTTCAAAGCCAGTCTGGGCAGGAAAGTCCATAAGACTTTTTATCTCCAATAAACTACTCAGAAAACCAGCAGTGGCTCAAGTAGTAGAGCGCTAGCCTTGAGTTGAAAAGCTGAGGGACAGCATTCAGGCCCAGAGTTCAAGCCTCATAGCTGACAAAAACAACAACAAAAAATTCTGATTCTAGGCCCTGCATCCACTACCCTTAAGCAAAGCAGGCTCAGGAGAGGCAGATCTTTGCTAATTAATTACAACCTCCCAGCAGGCAGCCCCCACTTAAGAACCCAAACTCCCTTCAATCAGAAGAAAGACCATCCATTGTTACAAAGATAGGGTCATTTATTCACGTTATATTACTGGATTTCAAAGGCAAAAATACAGTTGTTTGTTCTGAACGCCAGGGTCAGAATCCTCCCCCCCCCCCCAGTAAATACACATATTTGCATACACGGAAAACCAAAATACACAGCATATCAGGTCTTCAGAATAGTAAAGTTTGTAATCCTGGCTGTGTGGAGCACCCTTCCCAGGCTGAAGGTGAGAACAGCATTTTCTTTCCTGTGTCACCACCTCTCCCACTGATCTTCCCAAAAGGTCACTTTACACAGGTTACTAGCAACAGGACAGAAAGAGAAAGGCACAGCATATGACAACACCTGGTCGTAACTCCAGGTGAAGGAAATGCTCCCTGAATCCTCAGCTCTCAAATCCCCAGTGAGGAAATAGACCAAAGCATCTCACAGATGAAGCATCCAGACCAAACCCTGCCCTGGTTGAGCCTTGGGCCTGGGGGAAGAAGAACCCTGAGAGCACTTGATGCAAAGTCGGGGATACAGGCAAAGCAGAATTTCCCTTGGTCCCGAGAATGAATTATATAAAATACAGAAGAAAATGCTATGGGGGAGAGGGGGGAAAAGGCAGAATTTTAATAGTAAAGAGGTAACAAAAAGTTATCACTCAGGGCATTTATCTCCTTTCTTTAAGGCACTTTGGAACAGTCAGGGTCTGGGAATAGGAAGAAAGGCCTTTGCATTTCCCAAAACTTTTGTCAAGTGCAGCCTGTCTTAATAGCATTGTTGAAGGGTTGGAATTGGTAAGAATACTCTTTGCAGAGCCCAGGTGTTTCTTCAGAGGAAGATAGTTGCTAATCAATACAAAGGCTTCTGGAAACAGAACCAAGTTGGCATTGGAGATGCTCAAAGCAATAAAGGCATGGGTAGGATGAGGGCCAGGTAACATTCAGCCTGCACACTCAGGGCTGGTACCCATGAGGGCAGTGGTTGGGATCCTGTCTGCCAAAAGCAAAAGGTTCAACTCTTGGGATTAAGAGGCTGAATCTTAGGCCTTCAGCCCAGGCTGGACCTGGCAATGGCCTCTGTGTTAGAAGTGTCCCTGCCATCTCACCCCAGGCAGCTTACCCATCCCCCTGCAGAAATGGGTTTGTGAATGAAAGCCCTGGGGGTTGGTGGGTACCATCACCAGGTGCAGCACCTGCTAAAACCCTGAGAAGGATGGGAGGCTTTAGGTACCAGAATTCTCAGGAAGAGTTGGGTGTTGGTTTAGCTGAACTCTCCAGATCTCTGGTTAAAAGGCTGAGAATGAATAGTCTGTTTTACCCTGAGTGTCACAGGCAAGTTTTAGGAAACAGCCAAGAGGCAAAAGAACAAAACCTGTGGGGAAAGAAGGGAGCAGACAGACAGGCAGGGCAGAGAGGAATAGGTGAAGAACTGGTAAAACAGGATGGGCTAGGAAGGGTGGTTCAGAGGCTCTTGGGAGGAAGGCAGTACCAGCCAGAACAGAAGGTGCCAAGGAATGGTAAACATACAAGCTGTACTGTTATTTAGAACCTCACAACCTAGAGCCCTGAAAGGTCAGTTCCAGGAGGCTGAGGTTCCCTCTGCCCTGCCCACCTGGGAAAGGTGGGTAGTTATGTCTGGTAGACAGAGGCTCTCTCCCAAGTCTCTGCCCCAAAGGTCTGGCAGGATAATGCTGACTGGAAAGCCTTGCCCTGGCCAGGGGACACAAAGGTGGTTTTGCTCTTCATAAATCCTGGCCTGCCAGCTAAATCAGAGACCCACTTGTGGCCACTACAGCATACATTATATTTTCCCCCTAAAAAAAAAACAAACTCAAACCCCTTCCCATATTTAAAATACCACAATAAAAATTCATAGGAAATTCAAGTTTACATAGCATGCCCAGAAAAATAAATTGTCATGACTTAATGATACACAACTATGAAAATTTGGATCAACACAAAATCAAGCTGTATCATAATTAGAACTTGATTTGTTCTTTAAAATACTACACACTGCTTCTTTAAAAAAAATAATCTTTACATTCAGAAATCAATCAATCTGGAGATAGGCACAATAAGTGAAAACACACTAGGTTTGTGCACCAGGGCTAAAACTTGCCTTGGAATTCATACATTAGCAGGCAAAAGGTTCAAGGCTCAAGTTTTAAGATATTCTTTTGCTGAAAACACACACTATTACAATGATTGTAATAGTTGCATACCACTAGGGGAAAAAACGGTAGAGAGGGACAGGAAACTGATCGAAATTTTGTGGGTTGTTTTTTTTTTTCTGTTTAAAATAGGATAACCAAAAACAGCATACCAATCTAAATTCAGCAGTACTATCCAATTTTTCATGAAGTTGAAAAGAATACAATTAAAAGCCAGCTTCTTACCCATTTCACAATTTAGAAATTTAACAGTGGGAATGAATTCCACAAGTCACCAAATTTTGAGCCGTGTAAAATACTAACTCCTTGGGTGATACCATGCCATGCCAAGAGGCCTCCAAAGGTGGATAGTTTTCACACTGACAAACACCCTGTAGAACTAAGTCACGTGTCGAGCCAAGTGGGGGGCAAAATATTCCACTCTTCTGGTCATCTGGAAAAGTATCTGCTGATGAGTGAGGGACCTATGACTCAGATTGTACAAATGAGAGGGACCAGCCCAGCAGACTGGCAGAGACACACAACAGAGGTCCCTGGCCATTTTCAGGTCTCTTATTTGTACCAAAGTGCTAGCTCGGTGTCCCGATGTCCACTGTGATTTGGGTATACAATGGGTATCTTTGTATGTCCAACACCTTGTAGGTAAGTGAGTTCAAACCATCAGTGCGCATGGTTTCTTTTGTGTGTGCAATTCGATCAAACCTACAAGAAAAGAAAGGAAAAAAAGGACAAATGGTTGGTGTTAAAATAGAAATCTTAAGAAGCAATCACTGAAAATTTGTATTTCTCTCCCTGACTCTGCCTCCACCTCCATATGAACTCCTGCCTCTGCCTGGATACCCTCTGTGCCTCCATTTCCCTGGAGGTACAGAGCCCTCTTCAGAACTTCTCTGTCTGCAGCCTGCCAAGGGGAAGAAGGAATAAGAATGAGCATCATACAGACCTCTGAGGATTTGGTTCATTTTTCTTGTCTCTTGAGTGGCGGATCATACGACACTTCCCAACAACAGCATTTGGGCGAGATATAGACATGCCTTTAAAAACTAATCTGCAAAGAGTAAATGGACAAGTAGTTATCACAGAGCTGCCAATAATGAGGGGGTTCAGTAGCCCCAGTTGCAAGATTGCTACCCCACCCATTTACTTGCTAGGTTTTTCTCACTCAACCCAAACACCAGCATCATGGCAGGACATGGTCCAGTGTAATATTAGTAAAACTTAGACTCCTCCATGACCTTTCATGATTGATCCTGCAGATGATGGTGTTTGCAATCACAGAGCTTACAATGTGGGAGCTCAAAGTGGGGCCTTTGGCAAGGGCAGTGGCACAGAAATGGAGGGAGAGAAGGTAAACAAATACAGCCATGGTACTCTATAGAAATTATATGGAAAACAAACTTGTGGGCAGGGATCGAAGGGGGAAAATAGGAGAAAACAAAGGAAGGCATGATATTCCCAAAAAGAAATGTAGTCATTAACTAATTTATGAAACAGTAACCCCTCTGTACAATATCTTAATAATAACAATAAAATTAGATTTCATAAAAAAAAAGCTAAAGAATATGGGGCCTTTGGTACCAGGCTGGAGGTAAGAAGGGAAAGTGGAGTGAAGTAGGAGAGATACAATTTAAGCTGGAGTAAGAAAAAATGAGCAGATACAAGTTGTGAGACTAAAGAAAGATCTGGTATTTTGGCAGCCAGGACAGCCCAAAGGACAGGCAAAGGCATGGAAAGAAAAGCAAACATGGTGCCCATAGGGAATGCCAGCTTCTAGGACTGATGCAAAGGGGGTGGGGTAGAAGAGGCAGGTGATGAGGCTGGAAAGAAGGATAAGGCCTAAATCATACATGCCTTCTCAGGACAAACCTCTGAACATCACCAGTGTCTGTAAGAGATATACTGTGTAGTGCTTTCCCAAATGGTTTTGGTCATGGGGAAGTCTCTCTGGTAAGTAGTTTTAAAATAACAGGCACAGAACAAAACTAGGGGCAGCCATGGCAGAGTGGAAGATTCTGTGTTGGTCCAAGGCAATGGAATGAGGATCAAAACTCAAATCTTTGACAGCAAGAATATGAAAGTTAATGGCAAAACTGACTGATCTTGGATGATCTACAGGTTTCTGGCTTTGCCTTCCTTCTGGTGATTATCCTCATGTCTGCCATATAGTAAATGCCTCATAGTACCTCTATCTTTAAGAAAGTGGCTCCAGATACTACCCATTCTTCTAGTCCTACCACTTTCCCTCCCTTCCTAACTGTCCTGATCATTCAAGATCTTATTACCTCCAGGGTGCTCACCCAACTGTAGTTCTACAGTGAGTTTGTTTTTGTCAGCACCCTTATGTCTAGGTCTTCAGTGTTCTCTCTACTGGCCAGCCTGGCAGGTTTTTTTGTTATTGGTTTTTGGTGTTTTTTTTTTTTTTTGTCAGTTGTGGGGCTTGAACTCTGGGCCTGGGCGCTGTCCCTCAGCTCTTCAGTTCAAGGCTAGCGCTCTACCACTTGAGCCACAGCGCCACTTCTGGTTTTCTGAGTGGTTTATTAGAGGTAAGAGTCTCATGGAGTTCCCTGCCTGGACTGGCTTTGAACTGTGATCCTCAGATCTCAGCCTCTTGAGTAGCTAGGATTACAGGCATGAGCCACCAGTGTCAGGCCCTGGCAGTGTTTTGTATGCAGTATTTGCATACAGTATTTGTGACTGATAACCAATCTGTATACTCAAAACTGAAGTTTCCTTCAAGGCCAATATTAGGACTTAAGGCTATGTCAAGTTCTCACATAAGGGTGACCTTGAGTGACACTGACACGGGTATTGCTCTTAGAGGACACATTCTGTTAATTGTCAAATAAATGTACTCCAATTCAGGAAGGTGCATGTGGGTATATTCTGGAATCTAACTCAGTGATGAATCCAGACTAGCTCCTGGAGGGAGAATGTGCTTCTGATCTGCAGCTAATGGGAGTGAAGACTCAACTGCCAGGAAGGACAGAACAGAATGTGGCTTCGAAAGCCACTGACAGCTGGGTGCTGGTGGCTCACGCCTGTAATCCTAGCTACTTCCAGAGGCTGAGATCTGAGATTGCAGTTCAAAGCCAGCCTGGGCTTGAAAGTCCATGAGACTCTTATCTCCAATTAACCACCAGAAAACTGGAAGTGGCACTGTGGCTCAAGTGGTAGAACGCTTGCCTTGAGCTAAAGAGTGCACCCAGGCCCAGAGTTCAAGCCCCACGACACCCCCTCCCCCTCAAAGAAAAAAAGAAAAGGAAGAAAAGCCACTGACACTTTTTGTTTTGAAACCATCTGCAATGACAACCAATGAAACACAGATTTACCAGGATGTGAAGGAACAGGATTATCTATGTCATGATAGTTGTGGTCAGGTGGATCCACAAGAGTTCATTTAGTTACTTTTTTTTTTTTGTGGCAGTTCTGGGTTTGAACTCAAGGCTTCAATTTTTTTTTTTTTTTTTTGTTAGTAGTGGGGCCTGAAATGTGGGCCTGGGTGCTGTCCTTCAGCTCTTCAGCTCAAGGCTAGCGTTCTACCACTTGAGCCACAGCGCCACTTCCAGCTTTTTTCTTTTTGCTTATGTGATAGTGAGGAATCGAACCCAGGGCCTCATGCATGCAAGGCAAGCGCTC